TTAAAGTGGTAGTAAACTTAATATTTAATAACTTTTACTAGAGTAGTTGATTTATAGTGGTTTTAATTACTACTAGACGTAATTTAAATAAATGTATGAAATTCCTGTTTAATATTTATCACAACTTAAAATATCAGCAAAATTAGAAAAATAACTTATTTAGCTATCACTACGAACAATCTTTGACGAAATACGCAGATTTTATGACTTTTTCTACTTAATGAATAGATTTTCTTTCTCTAATGTTCTTTCCCTTCTTTATTCACTCGTTATGACAAAAAACATTCGCAGATATGGTTGTCATAGCCAGGCACTATTTATAAAATAAAAACATTAGAAAACAATAGCTAAATTAAAGTACACATTTTTGTTTTCATTTAGCATAGTTTTATAAAAGTATATAGTTTTGGTATAAAATTCATTTCATACAGTTTTTTAAAAATTTAAGTTAAAAATAAAAATTGACAAATAAATTTCCTTCGATGATCTTTTTTTACTTTTTTACTTCTCACATGAAATCAAGATTTCTTTATGTGTTTTCCTCATAAAATTAATGAAATTTATAGAGGTGTTGTTTACCAGTTAAATTTATCTTTATCCTTAATTTAAAGCTATTTACCTGTAATATTTATTTATCATCCTTTCTTAGTATTCTTCCCTCCTTTTATTTTAAATAATATTCAAAATGAAAGGCTTCAAACTAAAAGTTTAATTTCTTTACTGTAAATATTTTTGACGAAATATTTTCTGATAAAGTAATTTAAAGTTGTATTTAACTAATTAACCGTTTTCCAGTCAGCAAGAACTAAATAGGTTACATTTACATTTTCAATAAGCATTATGTACAATTTCATCGAGTCAAAGTATACAGTGAAAGTAAGGAATATAAAATTCTAAATAATTGGTAGGAACTAGCTTTTTTCGCCATTATTTAATAATCTCTTACGTTAGGTGAAAGGCATTTAACAAGTCTTTATAGTAACCACAAATTTAACAGTTTAACAATCCAAATTTTAGAAGAAGGTTAAATTTAATTCCTATGAAATCGATTATTGAACCCGTGAAACTAAATCTGTGTCTATGCAATGAAACATTTTGGGATCTTTTAATTAAAACTTTTTATATAGACGTACCAATCAGCAATTAAACAGAAATTATTGAATAAATCTGGTGGGTATATTGTTTACGAAGCGAGCAGGGGGTAGAATTATTTAATATGGAATATAAAATATTTTTCATAAAATTAAATTCTTATATGGATATTCTATCAAATTTTACTTACCATATGAACTGGCATTCATTTTTAAAGTTTAGTAAGTAATTTTTAAGTAAGAGAACCAAAATAAAGTGCAAAAAGAGTTTATCAATAATTTTTATTGATGCGAATAACTTGGTGATAAAAACTGAAAGACTGATACTTTATATTCTATCCTCGATTTAATTCAAAAAAGAAAGTTTATATTCAGGAAAGATAAGATATTCGACTGATAAGTTGCGTCAGATGACAACACTTAATACTGATATAGTGGTAATAAAACTGCTGCGATTCACCATTTTTAAGACAGTTATTTTTAGCGCTGTTTGGCAATGTTTATGAGTTAAAAGTTCAGATAGGTCTAAAATATATATATATATATA